GCCCACCCTCCTGCCAGTGATGTATCTGCTACCCGCCTTCCTGCCAGTGATGTCTGTCCTGCCCATCCTCCTGCCAGTGANTGACGTCTTTCCTGCCCACCCTCCTGCCAGTGACATCTTTCCTGCCTGACCTCCTGCCATTGATGTCTCTCCTGTCTGCCCAGCTGCCAGTGATGTCCCCCTTGCCAATGACATCTCTCCTGCCTGTACACCCCAACACACATTGTGTTGTCGAAAGCAACCCCATCACCTGCCTGCCCTGAAATCAGCTTCAGTAACTCCACTGGACCTTCCACATTTATACCTGGACTATACACAATTTTACTTCATAAACTGCGACTTTGCTATTTTGGAGTTCCTCTCCTGGCCCCTGGAGGACGGGCTCCCCCTTTCTGGTTCCTCTCAAGGTTTCTTCCTACTAGGAAGTTTTTCCTTCCCACTGTTACCTCTGGCTTGCTCACTGGGGGCTTTGGGCAGGGATAATGTAAAATGCTTTTAGATAATGTAGCAAAAGCTGATGGACGAGCAGTCAATGCCCACCACTAACATCACGCTAAAGTGGAGGAATTGAATATTTTAAAGGATTTTTTTATCTTTTTTGTTGTCGTTAGTTTTAGTATTGGTCAATGAACACAAATTAAACAAATTAGCTGCAACAATAACATTCATTCAATTTAATCTACTTTTATATAGCACCTTTCACAGCCGAGTCACCACAAAGCAGTTTACATGGGTATGTTGCATCCCAGAGAGTACACATTCATTGTAATCCCTCCCACAATTGTAAGTAGCTTTGGAATAAAGTGTCAGATAAATGAGTTAAATGTAAAATTAAGACTGTTTCCTTTAATGATACCCATATAAGGGTTCAAATACAGAAAAATGCTAGCATGTTAATCTATTGGGGTGCTTAAATCAGATATACATTGAAGATTAGCCAGTTGTGGAAAGAAATGTTTTTCCCCCATCTAGTGGTCAAACTTTTATCTATTTTTGGACAGCAAACAACAAAAAGTTTACTTGTGGCGTCCTCAGCCTGTTCACGCCGCCAGCTTTGGGTATATTGATTTTCATGATATATTTGGGTTTCGACTGGATTTATAACAATACAAAGCGATAATCTATATCATTTAATCACACTGAAAAAAGCTAATAACATGGGCTCTTGGTGATGACCATCCACAGTATTTTCTCTGCTGCATGTCAGCGAGAAACAACATAAATAGTAATGCTATGGCACGGGGTTAAGATTTTAGTACCACACTGAAAAAGCGGTCAGGAAAAATGGAAGGATATATTTTCTTATTATTAGAGTAACGTACAGATCAAATGTATTTCTAATCAAGTTTAACTGGTTACACTTCTCTAATATTGTTGTGCTATACATTTAGAACTCATCATTAATGGACCATGAAAGTATCACTAAAAGGAAAAAGTTGCTAATGTAACATATCCACGAAAAGGCTTTGTAAATCATTCAGATACTGTCAGGGATTAGCTCGAGACAAAAGCCATAATGGTACAGTAGCAGAAAGCAAACAAGACATTTGCCAACTACCTTGGCACAGTTGTGGCTACTTCAGCTGAATGTTTAGGATCTTCTGACTAATCGTAGCTAAGCAATACCTTTGGGAAAACAGTCAAACAATAAAAGCAAACATGCCAAATAACATGTAAGTGCAGCAGATCTCCGCATTAGTGCCAAGTGCATGGAAGTGGAGTAAAGCCTGTTGTCAAGCTGATGGCATGTTTATTTTGCATAAATGAGATTAGGGATGTCAATGTTTGCAGGCAGCTATATGATCAATATATATGATATATGATCATGATTTTTATGAATAACTCCACTGGTATCTTGATATACACAAAAAACAACATACTTCACAGTTTTAAAACGGCCTTTTGAACATGACACTGTATTCGCATTAAGTCCCTTTAAGGAGCCCTAAAGGTCTTTCATCAAGTAGAAATTGATGAAAGACCTGCAGGAAATTACATTGTTCACTTTTATGGAGGAAAAAAACTCTAGACTTTGTGCAGCTTAATTAGCTTTGCCGCTAAATAAATGCCTTGAGCTGCCTGTAAAGCTGCCCTGTTCCTCCTAGGTGCTGTTGTACTGTTTGTTTTTAGGACATAACAACAATATCAGGAGGACAGATTCAGCTAAAAGAATATAGTCACAGTCTTGTACCCTTCATGATGACCTGGAGGAGATGGAGTCAGAATACCACCCTGGGCTGAAACACCATCCATGTTGACATACTGGCTCTGAAGGCTTCTGCTGCTAACTGCAGTCGGTGCAGTTAGCAGCAGAAACACAGGGGCTGATATCCATCACATTTAGTCACTCGGCACGAAAGCGCGGCGCTCCAGCCTGAACCTGATACCTGCCTGCATATTCAGTGAAATATAGACTTTTCTCCTACCATGTCGTCGGGCAGTTCAGCTATTTTAAAACCTGCTCGTGTTACTTTTATGGGTTTTATTTTATCAGTGGCATGCTGTGCCCTCAGTGAAATGGCATTTTGGGCTGCCATCTGGCACACAACTGCAAATAAGGGCAGATGTTTGCTGGTCGTCAAAGCCTGGCTTTGTGGAGACCGTGCTCGGAGCTAGCTTCGAATAAAGGAAGAATTACGGGCATGCTGTTGGTTTTCAGCTACTATTCATCACCTCAACAAGCACCCACAGCTTAATCCTGACTGAATATCAGGATGAACTCTACAAAATGTTTGAAAGCCAATGTTAGCCACACATAGACACATGAACCTACTCACAACCCTTGGTTTTCATCTTGATAGTTCCATTTTTAACAATGAGCAGCTCAAGTCTTACCGCATATAGTGAAGTCTGATCCCTGGAAGCCTCCAGCTCCCTGGCAGCTCTGCTGTTTCTACAAGGAGCCTGAAACTTGGGCTGAAAATGCCGTATCTCATTTCAGTGACCAATGACATCATCTCCTTCCTGAGGTCTAGGATAATTGTGCAATGTGCTGAATGACAGTTATACATTCCATTTCAGGGACCAAGTGGAGTTCAGCTGTCTGGACAATGGTAGACTTTTATAAGTTTTACTGATATCAGCACCAACAACAATTCTTCTCATGTATATCTTAACGGTGCCCATACGGAGTGCTTAAATATGTTACAAAAAAAGATTAACTAGCAGAAAAAGCAGGGAGTACCACAGAGGTGAACCAAATTGGTTGCTATTTTGTGTTCCAAGAGGCAGTCTTCTGATAAATATTTCACTTAAACTTCTATATAAAAGGTTAAAATAAAAAAATGTATGCTAGCCTTGTAAATATATAAGCATCAACTAGCCAAAATAATTAAAGTTAACAATAATAATATGTATTGGTTTAATAACCCCTTCTCTGAATAAGACATTTAAAGTTTTCACACAACAACAAAGGGTTGAGTAAAAGGACCAATTCATTGCAGCCCTCTCTCTGGCATTTGGGACATGGCATTCCAGTTGTATATAAAGTCCAGTACAGGGGATTCCAGTGGAGGGAGTTTTCATGACCCAAACGACTCCTGCCGAGAGCCCCAGCTCAAAGCAGACAGCAGGTTGTGGGAAAGCCCTCCCCATGATTGGATGTGTGTCTCAGCAAATGGTGGATCACCTATAGCAGGGGTGGGCAATCTTATCCACAAAGGGCTGGTGTGTATGCAGGTTTTCACTGCAACTCCCTAATTAGGTCACTAATTAGCGGACTGATTGGCTGAAGAGTCCTCACACCTGGGTTTGAAGAACTGACCTAAAAGTTATCCCAAAAACCTACATACACACCGCTCCTTCGCGGATAAGATTGCCCACCCCTGATCTATAGTCTATTTGCTATGCTGCCACAAGCAAGATAAAAGACAGATAGAACTGTGGATAAAAAAATACACATAAAACTCAGGTGAAACAGTTGTGCCTTACTGTTTTCAAGCACAAATTAAGAGCTGATAGATGAAGCAGAAGTGCAGCAATGAATCAGAGGTCACCTCGTATTGTGAGAGAGGTCACCTCTCATTGAAGCAGAGGTCACCTTGTATTGTGAGAGAGATCACCTCTCATTGAGGCAGAGGTCACCTTGTATTTGAGACAGAGGTCACTTCTCATTGAGGCAGAGGTCACCTCATATTGAGGCCGAGGTCGCCTCGTATTGTGGGAGAGGTCACTTCTCATTGAGGCCGAGGTCACCTCGTATTGAGGCAGAGGTCACTTCTCATTGAGGCAGAGGTCACCTCGTATTGAGACAGAGGTCACTCCACATTAAGGCAGAGGTCACCTCTCATTGCAGCAGAAGTCACCTTGCATTGTAGCAGAGGTCACCTTGCATTGCCAGTTTAGGACTTGCGGGAGGTTTAAACTTGGTTGACAGGTGTCATGCTGGAGGAGAGAAGTGACATTGAAGGACTCAAAAGTGGAAAACATTAATCTTCTGAAATTTTCATGTCACACAACAGTTGCCCCTAACAGCATTGATATAGAAGATGGATGAATGGATGGAAAGCAATAGTCTGACAGTGTGCATCCCAACAATTCACCTATTCACCAGAAGAGGGCTCCTCCAGCCATTGAGCTACAGCACATTTTTCCCACTTGCATTAGTAAAGCTGGGAACATCAATGAACCATATTGGTACATGTGGTTTGGCTAACATTCTTTAATCGGTATTATACCCTCAATTGATAAGAAGGCTGCCCCATGAAGGAGGTTGTTTATCCTCATACTTAAAATGCTCCTATACCCCTGTCTCATCTACAGGAAGTCACAGATGTCATGGATAAATTAATTATCCGGCGCTCAAAAATACTGTTGTATTGTGTATGTGTATGTGTTGTGTACTGATCTGTCCATTTATTGTTCCGTCTATTCATTGTAAATTGTTGTGAACTGTAATGTGATTGCACCCTTTGCACTTTATTGTGTTTGCACCTTTTTGCCCTGTTGTATGTGATGTTCAGTGTTACTAGATTTTGAACATGGGGAAACGTGGTCTCATCATACTGTACTTTGTACATGAATAAAGCCGTTGATGACAATGACGTAACCTTAACCTTAACCTTTAAACAGCTACAAAATATCATTCAGCATGCAAGATTCTTCAATATAGCAATAGCCATTTTTAATATACCAATAGCTATTTTAATATGTTTAAGGCTCCTACCCTGTAAAACGAAAATCCATATCCAGGGAAACCTGGGCATATAGTAACCTTACAGTAAACTCTCGTTTTACAATCTACACATAATTGACACAATATACATATACACAAGTGTTTTTTAAACAAAAGTTACAAAACGCTAAACTTTCACTCTTCACATGAAAACAAAAGTAAAGTGCCCCCCAGTGCCAATGGATTCCGAAAGCTGATGTCACCCATGAGAAGCGTGACATGTAATGTGCATATTGCTTCATTTTTAAAAGCAAAAGCTGTGTGATGACACTGAGTGGCTGCCGCATATTGCAAATTAGTGCCTTTTCCTTCACTTAGTACTCCACTGTCATTTGCAACACTGGGTCATACTAGTTGCAGAGCTAAACAAACTGCCAATTTTTGAAAAACTGACGCCTGGAGAGGGGCCCAAAAAGAGGAAGGAAACCTGGATGTATGGAACCCTACTTTTGCACCACCTCTTACTGCTGATCCTGCACACCATAGGGATTTTGATTATTTTTAATGACTAATGTGCGTGATATGTGATGTTTTTTTCTCCCTTGTCTTTCAAAATAATGTCCCTTTTTTCCATAACTGGAGCCAGGCAACTGTGCATATTTGTACTATAGTACAAATATAGTTATACTGTAGTATAACTGTGTATGTGATGAATAAAACTTTGAAACTGAAAATACTTCATTTAGGAGTGAGAAAATAAAATCCGTTATTAAGGTAAAAGTCACAGACATAT